GCGGCCTCCCCTGGCCCCCGGCCGGCCCCTCCTCCCAGCCACCTGCTGTTTCTGCTTGGGAGAGCGAGCGCGGTGGGTGGTGGAAGGGCGGAGCCACTTGACCTTCCCCCTTCCCCCTAAAGGGCGAGGGACCCCCGGTCGGCCCAGGCAACCCCGCAGATTCCCAATCCCCGCTCCCCCTGATCTCTGTCCGCCCTTCACCTCCTTCCGTCTGCCCTTCACACCCTCCCTGCCTGACTCCCTCTCGCAGACTTCCGTCGCTAGCTCCCCAGCCCCCCGCGGGGGCCTGGATGGGGGTGGGTGGGAAGAAGGGGTCCGAGACTTTAAGGGAGGGTAGTGAGGGGGGTGCTGGTCCTGACCAATCCCTCCACCTCCCTCTGACTGGTATTACCATGGCAACTAGGGTGTACTGGGTTTTGGAGGAGACTAAGGTTGGGGGGGCGAGGAGGGGCAAGCTAGGACTTCTTGCAGGAGGCAAGGGTCTAAGGTTCTTCCCCCATCAATAGGCCCTTCCGGCTGCACCCCATTTCCCTCTCACCCCAAAGCCTTCGTGCCCATTTCCACAGCTCCCCCTCTGCTCTAGGGTCACCAGCGCCCTCCCCCCTCACCAAAGCCCAGCCCAGTGGCACTAAAACCACGACTACCCGCCTTCCCATCTTGGGGGAAACTGAGGCTCCAAGCCAGGGGACAACAATCAAGATCTACCTGTGGAAGGGGAAGGGGGGCAGTGGGGAGCAGTCAGGACCTATGGAACATTTGGTTTTTCTTCTTAGCCCCCCCATTCCCTGTCCCTACCTCCACCCAAGCCCACTGCCCTGCCCAGCACCATCTCCGGGGCTTTAGACACTGTCCCCCATACTACCACTTTGCCCTTTTCTTTTTTTTTTTTGCTCCTTCTGCTAAAACTCTCCGCCTTCCTCCTAGTTCCCCCTCTTTCCATTTCTGGATGCTTCTGATGTCAGTGGTTTCCCCCCTGCCTTTGGATTCCCTATCCCCCCTCCCCTTCTCCCCAGGCCCCAGCCTCTTCTCTCCCATCTCACCAGAGAGCAGGGTAGAAGGAGGGTGAACACTCCAGGCTTCTGAAAATGGACTGACCACTGAGACCACTGGTAGCAGGAGACTGGAAGGTTGGGGAGGGGTAGCCCAGTTTACAGTGGTCCTGTGTGACTGAAGATTGCAGAGGGGCGTGAAGATGGGGGCTCCCAGCAGTGAGGAGCAGCAGCAGAAGAAAGCTGGGAGTACCCAAGGGGGGAAGGCTGACACAGCATGGTAGGCGCGTGGTCTGAAGGGGCAGGGGCTCTTGTCTGCAGACTCACTCCATGGTCATCGCATTCAGAAACAGGAAAGTCGTGGTTCTGAGCCACCTCCAGGCCCCTAGTGATGTGTAATCTCTGTCTTAAGAGAAAGGAGTAGGGACAAGAAACCGGCTGCAGTCAGCCTCCCTTGGCCCTACCTCTGTCACCCTCTCTCCCCTGCAGTTTGTCCAGGTGGCTGAGTCCCACCCCCGGAACCCCTAGGGGCATCCAGAAGACCCCCAGCTGGTCCAGGACCAGAAGAAGACTGGGCCTGGAAGTCCTGGCACATCCGTCCTGCCAAACTCCTAGTTGGGAAAGCCACCAGCCTCCCCCCTCACCAGCCACAGGAAAACTTCAGAAGGGGCCCCAGCTCATATGGAGGCTGAGGACTGCCTCTGCTGACCCTTGGCTTCTTCCCCTGCCCTCCACACCTGACCTCAGCGGGGTCAGTCATGCCTTGCTGAGCAGTGGGGTGAGGCCCAGGGGCAGCCGCCTCACCACAGAGCGAGGATTGCGGGCATCATGGGTGGGGGTGTGAGTGAGGCTCCTGGGTGAGACCTAGCCCCCTCCCCCCCCTCCCAGGAGTTCAAGGGAGGTGGGGGTGGGAGGCCAAGGATAGGATGGCTCGGAGTGGGGCGGGGGCAGAGGAGGCCTCCCTGCGCTCCAATGCGTTGTCCTGGCTGGCCTGTGGGCTGCTGGCCCTGCTGGCCAACGCCTGGATCATCCTCAGCATCTCGGCCAAGCAGCAGAAGCACAAGCCGCTGGAGCTGCTGCTCTGCTTCCTGGCGGGCACGCATATACTCATGGCGGCAGTGCCCCTCACCACCTTCGCGGTAGTGCAGCTCCGGCGCCAGGCTTCCTCCGACTATGACTGGAACGAGAGCATCTGCAAGGTCTTTGTGTCCACCTACTACACCCTGGCCCTGGCCACCTGTTTCACAGTCGCCTCGCTCTCCTACCATCGAATGTGGATGGTGCGTTGGCCCGTCAACTATCGTCTCAGCAACGCCAAGAAGCAGGCGCTGCATGCGGTCATGGGCATCTGGATGGTCAGCTTCATCCTCTCCACTCTGCCCTCCATTGGCTGGCACAACAATGGCGAGCGCTACTACGCCCGCGGCTGCCAGTTTATAGTCTCCAAGATTGGCCTTGGCTTTGGCGTCTGCTTCAGCCTCTTGCTACTCGGGGGCATTGTCATGGGGTTGGTCTGTGTGGCCATCACCTTCTATCAGACGCTCTGGGCCCGGCCCCGGAGGGCTCGGCAGGCTCGGAGAGCCATGGGTGGTGTTGGGGTGAAGGGGGGTGGGCCGGGGGGCTTGGGAACCCGGCCAGCCTTTGAGGTGCCAGCCATTGTGGTGGAGGATGCCCGAGGGAAGCGGCGATCCTCGCTGGACGGCTCTGAGTCTGCCAAGACATCCCTGCAGGTCACCAACTTAGTCAGCGCCATCGTCTTTCTCTATGACTCACTCACGGGGGTACCCATCTTGGTGAGATCGGGGTTCCCCTGTTGCTCCTGCTTTCCCCAATATCCAGGCCCCAGTATCACCTGATCTCTACCTTCATCAGCCAAATAGTAGCTCCATCATCCCTCCTTCCTGTCCATCATCCATCCTCTCCTCCCAGCCCCGCTCACCAGTTCATCAATAAGTCCCCATCTCCATCATCCATCTTCTAGTTCCCACTACTTCATCACCCAGCTTCATCATCTTTTCCTGCTCCCACTATTCAACTCTTCCATCCATCCTTGAGTTCCACCAGCTGTCCTTCAACTGTGCTATCCATCTTTCAGTTCCCTTAGCTGTCTTCTGGCTTCATCATCTGTCTCTCAATTCCACTAGCTGTCAGTTCCAGTGTCTTCAGTTCCATTACCTGTCTTTTATCTCCATCACCTACCCTTCACTTCCACCAGCTGTCCTTTAGCTCCATCATCCTCTCGCCAATTCCACCAGCTGTCCTTTAGCTCCATCA